ACCTGGAACAACCTGAAATGCAGACCCACAACACTTTATCACAACCAGGGATGGCTAAAGACAGACAGGGCACAGCCCAATATTCCAAGGATACCCTGCTGTGTGCCACAGGGTGTCACATCACCTGGGCAGGGATAGAGGTGGCCCAGTTTCATGCTGACCAATTGTGTGTTCTGCCATCCTCTCAGTCTTAAATTGTATCTAGAACTGTGAGAACTGGAGAATCGTGCAGTTTTCATTCGTTTTCCTGGACATAGAACTGAAATTTCAAATGCAGCAGATGGCCACGACCATATGGTTGCTATGGGGAGCATGGAATCACAGAATCCCAGAATGGTTTGGGTTGGAAGGGACCTTAAAAATCACCTCATTCCACCCCCCTGCCACGGGCAGGGACGCCTTCCAGTGGGAGGATGCACTGGGCTGTGGGTTTGGGCGTGGAGTGATCTGAGAGATCTGTCAGAGCTTTCGGTGTCCTGGGCAGCTCCTCAGTGCGGGCTGCTGCTGCAGCAGAGCTCTGCTCCTCCTGCCGCCCAGAAGAGCTCGCTGACCACTTCCCACCATGGAAGGGCCAAGCTGACCCGGTGTGCTTTCAGGGAAGTCCTGTCCCTGGAGTTCCTGTACCTCAGAGTCATCAGTGGCTGTGCTGACGGATGCATTCGGATATTCAACTTCCTGACTGGCACCTGCCTCAGAGTCTTGGAGCCCACCAGCAGCGGGGACCCCGTGTCTGCTCTCTATGCGGCAGGAAACAGGTGGGTGACAGCAGCTGCCAGCAGGCTCTGACCCAAATTCAGTAGATCACACTGAAATTTAGGGAACTGTGTGTTTTTCCTTCTTGCAAATAACTTTTAAAGGGCTCCACTATTTATATACTGCTATAATAATCTGGTTTAGTTCACAATGGCTGTAAAGATTTCCTTAGTCTCTTCAGCAATGCACAATTTCCTGTTTCTCTACAGCTGACGATACAGGCCCAACTGTAAAGCTTAATTCAGAAGTTCTTAGGAGGTTGGAGAACCAAGCCAATACCTGAGAGTCTCTGCCTGTTCCCTGTCCTACATCCTCTTTGTAGAGGCCAATAATGAGAAATCCTTCCAGGTCCATTCACTTTTGCACCTCTAACTGAAGGTGCAAACTAAACTAAAGGTTCTGTGGAAGCAATGGGTAAAACACTGCTGTGGTTTGAGGGTTGGGTTGGCCACACTCTAAAGCACAGCAATAAATTGGCAGCTATGAAGAAATTAATGCCATCCCAACCAGACCAGCACAGCCCTTCAACCCACACTTAGATGTCCCTGACAATATGGTATTTGTAGTTAGGTGCTCCCACCACGACTCTGATCTAGCTCTGTCCACTGCTGGAAATTTTCATCTTAATTATTTAAAAATTAATTTTGCTGTGGAGCTGAATGAAAAGAGCACCAGAGACTCACGCAGAGCACAAGTTAAAATGTGCAGTGTCTGATTGATGGGCTCAGTTGCTGCTGCTCCTTCAAGGAGAGACAATGATCTCGGGTCTGTGTTTCACAGAGCCCCTCAGGCAGGCCCTGCCATGTCTGTGGTTCCTGTGTTTTTATAGCTCTTCCCTCCCTCCCCAGGGTGGTGACCAACTCCCCCAGCAGACTGCTGCTGCTCCAGTTCGAGGATGTGGTGTGGGACTATTCCCTGCCCGCTGACAGAGAGGAGCTGAAGAAGGACAAGAGGACCCGGAGGGGGAAGCGCCAGGGCGGCACTGCAGAGCAGCAGCGAGCTCGGGACAAGTCCCCGAGATCTCGCCAGGGACCAAAGAGCCGTGGAAGACCCAAAAGTATCACACTGAGCCTCTTCTTTTCTGGCTTTTCTAAACTGACTTACAAACCACGCAGCCACTGCCTGCAGTCCAGCCAATATTCAGACTCTGCTGCTGTCAAGAGCAGATGTGCTGCTCCATTTCAATGGTTCTGTCATTTTCTAGGCTTCTGTAAAACCTTTCTGCCTTTTTACAAGGATTTGGTGTAACTTCAACATATTTTTCAAGACAGGCACTGTCATTTTCCAACTGAGTAAGACAGAAATCAGTAGTAGTATTCATATTCACCCAGCTGGTGGGCTTGGAAACACGCTGCTGATTCAGGGCTTGAATTATTCATTACAAACACCCGAGAAAGTGAGAGAACACCTACATTCAGGATCTGCCATCACTGGGAAATGCAACTGCACAGAAACAGGCGCCTTTTCAGTTGTAACAGAGTGATATTATTTTGGTTTTAGTCAGAGCTATTCAATACAGTGTGATGACAAATCCTCCAGCTCCACAAACTGAGTATTGCTGAGAAACCAACGGGCTGAGAAAAGGTTCCTGCGTTCCAGGCCAGCAGATGCCAACTGATGCTCTGCTTGGTAAAAAACAGGAGCCAGGGAACAGCTGGAGCTGTGTCAGGGAGGCTCAGGCTGGATTTCAGGGAAAGGCTCTTCCCCAGAGGGTGCTGGCACTGCCCAGGTTCCCCAGGGAATGGGCACGGCCCCGAGGCTGCCAGGGACGCCCAGGTGGGGTTTTGGGGTCTGGGCAGGGCCAGGGACTGGGCTGGGTGATCTTTGTGGCTCCCTCCCAGCTCAGCTTACTCAGTGACTCTCTGACTATGCTCTGCAGTGTGTGGGAAAGCCTCTCAGCCCCAAATGTGCCGCTTTGTTTTTGCCTACAGGTGATGAAGCCGAACGGGGCCCTGCTTCCCCTGCACCTGAGGAGGCAGAGGCCACTTGGGAGGGTGAGCTGCCCCAGAGACACCCAAGCTGTCCGATGACTCCTGACAAGTTCCTCTTAACAATCAGCACCCTGCAGAGCTTCTGCAAGGCAGCCGCAGCCAGCCGCAGCCCCAGTGTGCTCTCTGCGAAAGCCAGGGCAGCTCAGTGGCGGCGCCCGGGGTCGGTGCCCGCGTCCAAAACGCCCCTGCAGCACACGGAGGAGCAGGCGGCCCAGCTCCAGCGCGCCAGGCTGCACAGCCGCTCTCTGACCACGACAAAAACCTCAACGCCCTTTGAAACCAAACCGCTGCGGCTCAGGCTGGAGAACTCTTTGCACAGCCCCACTCTGAAATCCTCCATCCCTGCTCCCTGTGTTGTGCGTCCCAAGCCTTGTGGCTCGCCGGGAGGAAAGAAAACTCCCAGTGGCCATGGGAAAGACACTGCCGGTCCCAAAGACGGGGCTCGGCTCATCGATCTCTGGAGAGTCTCCTCAGAGGTGATCCAACCAACAGCTGGCACGGCTGCAGAGATGAGGAATGAGGCGCCCAGGAGAATAAAGCCCTCCTGCCCCTCCACCTCCCGCAGGGACAGCGGGCTCAGGCTGCGGCCAGCAGAGCAGGAGCTGTGTGAGGCAGCTGCGGCAGCTCAGCACCAGGCACAGCAGGCACGGCCCATGGAGGATAAAGGAAGAGCCAGAAGGAAAGCCTGGCTGAGGAAAGTTAAAGGCCTACCTGTGGATTCTTTTACTGGGGAGAGGAAAACACTTGCTCCAGAACTTGGGCATAACACATTTATCTGAGCTGATCCCCCAGTCCAGCCGACAGCCACGACCTGGCATTCTGGTGTCCAGCTGGCTCTGCCATGTGGCTTTAAGCATAAAATACAAATATATTCATTTCTATATATTTTAGTATATTTAGTTTATTTAAGTATGCTTTCTGTGGTTTTAAGTGTAAAACACTTCCCCAGGGTACGTTTTCCTAAGAAATGCTGTTGGTATATTCAGCTATTTGTAGATCAATATCTACGTGTACTTGCTTGTGGAAGGTTTCCTGTCCATGGCAGAGGGATGGAACTGGATGGTCTTTAAGGTTTTTCCAACCCCAACCACTCCGTGATTTTGTGGTTTCCAGTAATGCTGAGAACTTAACAGGATGACAAAAACTCAATGACTTGCTAGTATTTGAAAAACGCTATTTATCAAGCTTTGAGTGTCCGGGCTGGCACACCAAAAGTCTGTTGTATCAGAGGTTTGAGAGAGGCCAGTTCTGCCCATGGCCATGTAAAGAGTCTTTCAGCAGCTGTTCTGGTTTGAAATGAAAGTCTCTGAAACTCTCCCCACAGTGGGGTTGTGATTAGCATTGGTTTGTTTAATTCAATGCCACCTTCGACTCGCAAACCCTGGGATGAAGCCAGTGGAGAATAACCGCAGGGAGAACGGCAGCGGGCGGCTGCGCCGTGGCACAGGGGCTGTGGCTGCGAGGTGGCTGCGCCAGGCACGATGCAGGGATGGAGGGATGGGATGGAGGGATGGAGGGAAGGATGGATGGATGGCGGGATGAAGGGATGGTGGGATGGAGGGATGGGATGGATGGAAGGATGGAGGAATGGAGGCATGGAGATATGGAGGGATGTCACAGCCCGCCACAGGATGGCAGCTTCTCCCAAGGAATGAAGGAGCCCGCCCCGCTGGGGCCAAGGAACTGCGCCGTAATCCGCGGGGAAAACGTGTCCCAAGAAAGTCTGGTGGGAAAACATCACGGAAAGGCTGATTCCTTCTGGGCGGCCACGAAGCGAGGTTCTCCGGGATCCCCCTGCTCCCCTCAGCCGGTGCCGTTCTCCGGGATCCCCTCAGGACCCCTCACTGCCCTCAGCCGGTGCCGTTCCCCGGGATCCCCTCAGGACCCCTCAGCCGGTGCCGTTCTCCGGGATCCCCCCGATCCCCTCAGCCGGTGCCGTTCCCCGGGATCCCCTCAGGACCCCTCACTCCCCTCAGCCGGTGCCGTTCCCCGGGATCCCCTCAGGACCCCTCACTGCCCTCAGCCGGTGCCGTTCCCGTGTCCCTCCGCCCCCCGCCGCTCCCCTCGGGGCCGTTGGCGGCACCGCCCCCCCCCGCCACGTCTCGCGCCCGGTTCGCGCCAGCGCGCACGCGCCGGGGGCGGAGCGGCCGGGAGGGGCCGCGGGACGCGCTGTGATTGGTCCGCGGGAGTGACGCGCGCGGCGGGGCGGAAGTGGCGGCGCCGACCATGGTACGGGACCGGGACCGGGACCGGGATCGGGACCGGGACCGGGATCGGGACCGGGATCGGGACCCGGATCCGGACCGCGACCGGGGGCTTGGACATGGGCCACAGGATCGGGATCGGGACCGGGGACTCGGACATGGGCCACAGGACCGGGATCGGGACCGGGGACTCGGACATGGGCCATAAGACCGGGATCCGGACCGAAACCGGGGACTCGGACATGGGCCATAGGACCGGGATCCGGACCGGGACCAGGGACTCGGACATGGCCCACAGGACCGGGATCCGGACCGGGACCGGGGACTCGGACATGGGCCACAGGACCGGGATCGGGACCGGGAGCGGCATTCGGACCCGGACTGGGATCAGGGCTCGGCCGCGGGTCACCGGAGCGGAATCGGGATCCGGACCCGGACTGGGATCAGGGCTCGGCCGTGGGTCTCGGGACCGGGATCGCGGGCGCGGGCCCGGAGCAGGGCCTGGGCAGGGATTACAGCACCGGGACCCGGAGCGGGACCCGTTCCCGCAGGCCCGGGCGGGCTGCGGGGCTCGGAGGCGCTGTGTGCCGCCACGGGCCCGTCCGTGCCAGGAACCGTGCAGCCGGTGCCCGGACCCACAGCTCGGTGCCCGGACCCACAGCTCGGGGGCCGGACCCACAGCCGGTGCCCGGACCCACAGCTCGGTGCCCGGACCCACAGCCGGTGCCCGGACCCACAGCTCGGGGGCCGCTCCGTGCCTCTGCCTGCACAGCGACTCACGGAGAGCGCTTCTCTCAGGGCACTCTCCGTGCTGGCACAGCCCCGGGCGCCGGCTCTCCTGGCAGCGCAGAACACAAGCAGGGAGAGCAGGACAGTGTCCGAGGCTGTGTGGCACAGCCGGGTGCTCCCGTGTGGCACAGCCAGGTGCTCCCATGTGGCACAGCCAGGTGCTCCTGGCACACCTCCGAGCAGCAGACTTTGTGATCAGCTCAGGGCTCAGCTCACCAAACCAAGCCCTAAGATCATTTCTCAGATCACAGTGTAGGCTTGTGTGTGGTTAGATCTTCACGTTCTTCCCAAATTACTTCTGATCCTGCCTCTGTGGTTTTTGGGTGATGAACACTGTCCCAGGTTGAAATTGGAAAGGGTTTCATTTTTCTCCTGTAACCCTTTGTCTCTGCTCCCACCCCAGGACAGCAGTGATGACATTGAAGATGTGTCTCTCTTTGATGCAGATGATGATGTATCCAGGAGATCCAAAAAGTCAAAAATAAGGTTGGTGGTGACAGAGAGAGTTTCTGGGATGTCTCTTCCTTGTGTCAGCTTCCAGGCAGTTATTTCCCGTATTTCCAGGACACTGGGTCCACATTACAGTGCTGACCCTTACCCCACGCATTGCTGGGAGATCCCTAGGCAATGTCACTTGTCTGCAGGAGCTGTGACCATGTTGTCCTTCGTTCCAGGCACCCAGTGGCATCATTTTTCCACTTATTCTTCCGGGTCAGTGCCATCGTTGTGTACCTGCTCTGTGAGCTCTTAACCAGCAGCTTCATTGCCTGCATGGTGACCATCATCCTCCTCCTGTCCTGTGACTTCTGGGCTGTAAAGGTCAGTTCCCCTTGTGCTTTTTGTTATCTTTGCCTTGCTGTGTAAAAATAACTGACAGTGATACTCATGTCTCAGAAAAATAATTTATTTTGCCTCTGACACAAAGTGTGTCACCGAAACTCCTTCAAGTGCTGTGATGGATTGCAGAGAGCTATGAAATAAACTCTGACACCGCTGTGCACTTGGCTCCTTTTGAAAACCGAGTGGAGAACATTTCTTAGACTCCCTTTGGAGGCTTTGTTGCCAGCTCAGAACCACCACAACCCTGCCCTTGTGCTGGATCTCAGAAAATGGCTTGCTGTGGATCTGGCTCTCCCAGATGTGAGGCAGACAGGCGCCGTGGGAAGCAGCAGCCCGGGCCCTGGGCTGTGGCAGAAGGTTTCTTTGGCAGAAGACCCAGAGCTCACAGGTTCTGCTCTCTTCCAGAACGTCACAGGGCGGCTCATGGTTGGCCTCCGCTGGTGGAACCAGGTGGATGATGATGGCAGAAGTCACTGGGTGTTTGAGGCCAGGAAGGTCAGTGGTTTTGTTCCCACCTGGTGCTCGTGTCTGCTTTGTGACCCCCCTGATGAGTGGTGGTGCTGCTGCTGAGGGGAGACTGCCCAGGGAACATTTATTGGCAGCCACACATCTTGTTTTGTGCAGGCTGCTGGATGAGCTTTTTGGTTGTTGAGTTATTAAAAAAGTCTCATGATGTATTGATCTGGCTTCATGCAGGTAATGTAAGTCTGTGGATTTTGGAGGTAGGAAATGACTCCTTTGGCTGTTTCTAAGCTTTGTAACTGAACCATGCAGGAAATGTCATTTTTCCCAAACTTGCCCTTCTAGCCCCAAGCATTCCAAGAGGTTTTGATGCTGCTGCCTCCAGTGATTGTGAGAGGAAATGGAAGAGATTCCCTTAAGTGGAAGCACTTTCTGTTGCAGAGATGTCTTTGTGTGATGTGGAAATGAGTCATGGAAGCAGCCAGTGCTGTTGTGTGGAGGGAAATCCCGGGAGTGTGGGGGTTCTGCCCTGGTTTTAAGGACATGGGATCTGTGGGATGGAGCAGTCTGCTCACTGCCTTTTTCTTTCTGTTTCTAGGTGTCAGCACAAGGGGGTAAAACCTCATCTGAAGCAGAGTCCCGGATTTTCTGGCTGGGTCTGATCACCTGCCCTATGATCTGGGTGATCTTTGCCTTCAGCGCTCTCTTCTCTTTCAAAGTGAAGTGGCTGGTGAGTGCCCTGAGCTCTGCTCTGGCTCTGCCCTGTCTGAGCCAGGAGCTGACAGCTTTTTCCTGGCACAGGCAGTTGTGGTGATGGGGGTGGTGCTGCAGGGAGCCAACCTCTACGGCTACATCAGGTGTAAAGTTGGCAGCAGGAAGACCCTGACCAGCATGGCAACCAGCTACCTGGGGAAGCAGTTCCTGCGGCAGGTGAGGCCTCCAGGGCTTTGGCACCGCTGGGAGAAACAGGAGGGGCTCATTGGTGTTCGGAGCTGTGCAGTGGGACCCTTCCCACGCTGCTGCCTGGGAGCCTGAGTGCGTTAATTAATGCTCAGAGCACTGCTAATTGCTGCCAGCCAGCCCCACGTGCAGCGCTGTGGTATCGGCTGGTGCCATGGGCATCACTGGAGTGTGCTGGGAGTAACTCCTGGCTGAAAGGGCTGCCACTGCCCTTTGTGTTCTCCCCCACCTCCACCCAGCTCTTTCAGCAGCTCCTGCTCTCCACCAGCTCTGGGTTTCCTCCTTCCAGGAGGAACAACCACCCCAGTTCCACTTCACTGCTGCTGGACTGCTTTTTCTGGCTGTGTTGACGGCTCTGGCAGTGGTGTTCTGGCTGCCTCAGGTTCATAGATCTGTGCTGGATTCACTGCCATTAGTGTGATCAAAAGCTCAAGCACTGATGGCCTTTCTTGGCACTCTGTGCTGGGCCCATCCCCTTCTTGGTTTGCTCCTGAATTCTTGTACCCTGGCAGGGGTTGCTCAGGTGCCCAGGCCAGTCTCAGGCTCTGGAAGAAATGAATGTTTTGCCCCCAAATCCCAGCAGTGGCTCACAGAGTTTTCCTGCCCTCTTTGACCTTGCCTCCTGCAGACCATGGCTACAGAGGACCAAGCAGCATCCTGAGTGTGGTGGGAGCCTCCAGCCAGGCTGCATTCCCAGCAGTGACCAACAGAGAAGTTGCTCTGACTAATTTGGGAGCTGCACACAAGGTGTGAATCAAAAGAAGTAAATAAATTGTTCAAGACTTGAGGTTAACACTCCTGGCAACTTATATTCCATTTTCCACTAGCAGTTTGTGTTTAAGTCTTCTCTTTAGTTTGATTAACAAGAATTAATGTGCTTAAACTTTAAATTAAAAGATAGCCTGAGTGGGTTTCATAGAGGTTTAGAACTACTGGATGAGTTTAAAAAGAATTGCTGGAGATTCTTCGGAAAAGCCCTGTACAAGCCAAGCGCTTGGAACTCTCCTGCTCCTTCAGCACCGGTGTCTGGGACCTTCAGCTGTGGGCAGGTCTTGCTCTTGGAAGTTGTTGCTGCTTCTGCTACAGGTCAGGGAGGGATTTTTTGGCGCTGCATCCCTCACTGTGACTGGAATGGCTCTGAATGGCTGCAATGAGGGAATGGAGCTGCTGGGAAGATCCTGAAGTCTCACGGCAGCTGCAGAGGGTGACCTGTGAGCAGGCTCTGCTTTTCTGAAGCATTCACAGACCCGGAGAACATCCTAAAGCCCTGGCTCTCTGGGAATCCTGCAGGCCTGGGCTGTCTGGAGAGTGGCAAGAGCAGGACCAGTTCCAGGCAGGGGCTGAGAGAGCAGCCCTCGTCTGCCCGGCTGGCACACTGGGGCCATGGTGTCCTGGAGGGGCCACTGGGGCCATGGGGCTGTTCCTCAGGCCAGCAGCATGTGGGGAGGTGAGTTCCTGGCCCAGGGCTGGGGCTGGCAGGGTGTCACCTCACATCCACCCTCTGTGCTGTCCCGAAGCTCCCCAAGGAGTCTGAGCCCCGTGTGGGATGGCAGTGCTGTGCTGGAGCCCATCCCTGCTCGGGGCCAGCTCCTCCTCTGGGTTCTGTCCCTGGAGCTGGTGCTCCCCAGCAGCCGGTGCTGGGCGTTCTGGGCGAGGAGTTGTACGTGAAGAACTTACATGAGGGTTTGTTTTTGTCTCTGGGTGCTGTGCACTGTGGGGTTGCATTACCCTGGTTTCTCTCCCTCTGCTCTGCAGGACCGGCAGCTGTACATTTGTTTAACTCTGGATTGATACCTTCCTTTTGTAAATACATATTTATAAAATCTTGAAATTAAAATGCTGCTTTGTTTAACCAGCCCAGACTTCCCTTCTGTGGTTCATGGCTCAGCTTCATTTCTGCTCTGTGTCCTTGTCAAGCCCCTGTAGCAGGAGTTTGTGGTCATTTGAGCAGTGCTGTTCCTCCAGCTCTGGCGCTGCTCTGTCAGCCAGGGCTCCAAACCCTGCTCAGTCCCACACCAGAGGAACTCCTTACTTACCCACTTACTTACCCACTTAGTTACCCACTTACATCCAAGGGATCGGTCCTTTCTAGGGAATCAACGTGAAGAGACCAAATTCAGTCAAACCCCCGAGTAAAGACCCTTCAGCAGCCACGTGGGCCCTGCAGGGAGGAGTGGGATCCTTCCTGCTCCAGCCCAGCCAGCCCCTGTCCGCTGCTGGGCCAGGGCTGGCACAGCTCCAGCCACGAGCTGCTGCTTCCAAAATGGGTTCAAAGGTTTGGGCTTCATGTTTATTCACCTGCTGCCAGAGCTCCCCCCAGGCTCCTGGGAAACAGGGCTTTTCTGGAAGTTGCAGTTTATTTAACCAAGGACAGGGGCGTTTCTTTGTAGGTGCCTTTAAATAGAGCCTTCTTTGGGTTATTTTTAGCTCTTGGCAAACAGTCAGGGTTTTGGCTTCTGAGAAACTGGCAGTTTATTGCATTCCTGTCATGGATCAGAACCAAATTTCTTATCTCTGCTGCAGTTGGGTGTGAGTCTGGTTTGATTCTCACTCGCTGTGTGCTGGGATTTCCTGGGGAGCAGGAAGCGGGAGTTGCCTCAGAGCAGAGAAATTCTGTGAATGTGCTTTTTTCTGCAAGCCCCAGGACTCCACACTGAGCCAGATTCTTGAGCATCACTGGGCAATGCTGGCCCCACCTCAGACCTGGGTGGGGCTGAGCTTGAAGGGTTTAGAGAGCAGAAATACTCCAGGAGTAATGCAATAATAATCATAAATAATAAATAATAATAAATAATAATAAATAATAATAAATAATAATAAATAATAATAAATAATAAAATAATATAATCTTTGCTCTGAAATAGCAAAAGACAGCTGGGATGGTGACAGCACAGCTGGAAGCTGGGCTTGGGATTATCCTGGTTTCACAGGCAGAGCCCCAGCTCTGACAGCTCTGAAATGGCTCAGGAATTACAGCCGTGGAAACCCCCCGTGGCAGATAATTCCATATGGACACCGGGTGTGCCCGGGGAGCCCCTCTGGTGACTTCCCCGGGAACAGATACTGACGTGCTTTTGTTTTATTCCCACCCCTTCGATGGATTTCCTCCTCTCAACTATTAATTTGTAAATGACCCAGTTAGTGGCTGTTCCTGCCAGGTCAGCCCATCCCTCATTGCTGCACATTTCCAAGAGCTTTACTATTTCCCAGAA